TGGGGAAGTGACTGGGTGGTGGTGGGAGTAGAACAGGCTGCAGAACAGGGAGACTGGATGAGCGTCTCACAAACCCGGGTGAGATGTGAGAGAGCGGGTGCTCACAAAGTGCTGACTGACAGATGAAGATTTTAGTGGGGAGAGCAGAAACGAGTCCAGACACCAGACTTTTCACCAGTCAGTTGTTTAAATGCTGGGGACCATCATGTCTCAGAGAACCCATGGTTATTGAGAAGAATGCATACAAAGTCCTTAAACATACTGTCTGAGGTGCTGCAAGTTTCAGCAATTATTTGTACTATTTATTACTTTTTCTCCTAAATATTAAAAAAAACATTTAGTGTTGGTACTAGGACTTGAACTCAGGGCCTGGGTGCTGTTCCTTGACTTTTTTTTGCTCAAGGCTAGTATTCTACCAGTTAAGCTATAGCTCCACTTCTGGCTTTTTGGTAGTCAATTGGTGATGTCTTGTGAACATTGCTGCCAAGGCTGGCTTTCAATTGTGATCCTCAGATTATAACTCCTGTGTAGTTAGGATTATAGGTGTGAGCCATCTGGGCCCAGCTCACTTACTTTTTATTGCTTTCACTCCAACTCCCAAGTAATTTTCAGAACTCTTTTCAACCATCTTGTAAGTACATTTGAACAGTGTTACCCGCTCCCTCATTTTCTCCCTTCAACCATCTCAAATTGTTAGATCTGATGGATCTCAAATTGCTATTCACTGTGCCATTTTGTATGGTCTTTGTTATTTTTTTTTTTTAAAGAACTTTCTCTGAAAATGTCACAACTCCAATGGTGAGCTTAAAAAAATAATTTTTCTCTGTGCTTCCTACTGTGAAAATGGTGTCTAAAGCATTTTTATCTGGGCAATTGGAAATACTTGACCTATTTTTCAATTTCTCTATGATTTGAGAGTCAGCTATGAAAGCCAATTTAATTCTTGATGTGGAAGTTTTCTATGAAGGTAAAGTTCAATTGCTAGGAAGAATTTCTGAAGTATTTTAGAAGGTTTGAACAAGTTCAACACAGATGCCAGGGATAGGTCAATCAAACCTGTATACCCACAGTGCAGTTTGGAAGAAATGAAGACTCAGTAGTGATCAGAAAAGTTTAAAATGAGAATGGAAATGACAACTACCTCTTATTGAGTATTTTTTTTAGACATTGAATTAGTTGTTTTAGTATCTGTTCTGTCTGGAGCATTAGGAAAGAAATCTCCACATCACTTCTCAGTCTCTTAGTAAGTGGACTCAACGTTCTGAATTTGGTAGAAAATTTGTGCCAGATGTTGAAATGTTGAACCACTGCGCATTGTGAAATCTGGGTTTTTGCTGGACCTGTTGACTTACCACGTTCTCCCCTCAAGTGGGGAACAGTGATACTGAGTGATAGAAAGCAGGATATTGCTCTTAGATTGATGTTTTAATCCTAAAGTCACATGCGCTTTAAGGTTCTGTACGTTCTTAGCTTCCTCATTCCTAATAGGAAATAATATCAGATGTACTAGCTAACTGCCAGATTCTTGTTTCTTTTCCTCTTTTTCTTCTCTATGATCCCCTTTTCTTTTTATCTATAGTAAAACTGTAATCCTTTTTTTACTCTTTGTCAGAAAACGTACATCCTCTACCACTTGAGCCACTGCTTCACCTCTGGTTTTTTACTGGTTGATTGGAGATAAGAGTCTCTTGGATTTACTACTCAAGCTTGCTTTGAACCTTGATCCTTAGATCTCAGCGTCCTTAGTAGCTAGGATTATAGGTGGGAGCCTGCTGTCTAGACAAACTTTTTTTTTTTTTAAATGCTCATTGGTACTTCCCAAATCATTTTGTTGTAAACATTTTTTTTTTTTTGGTCAGTAAAAAAGCTTGAACTTAGGCCGGAGTGCTGTTCCTCAGCTCTTCAGCTCAAGGCTAGTGCTCTATCACTTTGAGCCACAATTCCATTTACGGTTTTCTGGTGGTTAATTGGAGGTAAGAGTCTCAGGGACTTTACTTTCTGGGCTGGCTTTGAACAACGATCCTCATATCTCACCTCCTGAGGAGGCTACTAACACTCAGCTGTTGTAAACTTTGGATGTCATCACCCACGCATGGAAATGTTAGGTCGAAAGTGCTTTTACTAATTAAACGATCTTGACAAGGGTGCCTCCCCTTTTTTTTTTTGGTGGTACCTGTTCCTGGTATTCTTGCTCCAAAGACTTGCTAGTACCAGACATTTTAAAATTCTAGGCACCTCACTCATCTAAGGTCAAGGTCAGGGATCTATCTCTCTCCTGTATCTACTTAACTGGCAAAATGGAGAGTGCCGGGAAGAGGCATGTGTGCGTTATTTATTTAATACAGTGTTTAATCTTACAGGCCTGCCAGTCTCTTTCAGTCATACCTTACGTTCTTAGAACTGGTAAGTTGGGGATTCCCAGCGATCAGGTCCCCTTCCTTGATACAAGTGATAGAGCCTTCTGGGTGCTTTCTTTTAGAAGATGTTTATTTAGGTCAGAAGAAGTATATCTTTAGGAGGTATTTATTTTTCTTTTAGTCCAAGGATAAGTTTTGCTAGATGTTTTTCTTGGGATACTTACCTGGACTGGGCTTCTCCACTGCTCTGAGCGAATCATTTCTGCAAGGTTAAAAAGCCTAGTTGGGTGCTGTAAGGCTGAGAGGGAGTGAGAAATGTCAAGTTGTCTATGGATGGTGACTGTGCTTCCTTATTCTTAGCTCTCTCTATTTTTTCTCCCTCTGAGCTCTGGATGTTTAACATGCTTTTATTCTCATGCGACCTATTCTTCTATTATCCTTACTTAGTAGTTATCTCACAATTTTTTTTTTTTTCCAGATCCTGGGTCTTGAACTCAGGGCCTGGGTGTTGTCCTGAGCTCTTTTGCTCAAAGCTAGCACTGTACCACTCAAGCCATTGTGCCACTTCTGGCTTTTTTTGGTGCTTAATTGGAGATGAGTCTCATGCACTTTCTGGCCCAGGCTGCCTTTGAACCACGATTTTCAGATCTTAGCTTCCTGAGTAGCTAGGATTAAAGGTGTGAGCCACCAGCAACCAGCTGTTTGCTGGTTTTCTGGACTTGGAGTCTAGTGGGATTTGCTGACTGGTCTGGCCAGGAGTCAGGAGCCTCCGGACCTCTGACTTCTGCCAGCTAGTCACTGGCACTTGGCTGTAATGTTTTATTGTGCACTGAGTGCACATGTTTAATGGTGCACTGAGTACATGACTTTGCTATAAATCACCCTTTAGGGAGCTGTAGGTGTAGCTGTAGACGTATGAGTAGCCTGTCTGAAAGCTGTACCTGGTCTGTGAATATTACAACTGCTTCTGCCCCCCTGTTTCAAAGCCCTATGCTGGGGCAGGATGGACGAAGTCAGTTATCTCTCTTTCCTTACGGTGGAAAAGACTTGTTGCTTGGAGCTGAAATATTTTTGTTCTTCCAGCTCAGTGCAGCTCTAAGAAAACCCCAACAAACTAGGCTTTATGAGTTAATCAGGCTTCATTTACAGAATTATAAGGTGATAATTTGTTCCATTGATTCCACCTGCTTTTGTCTGTGACCAGATACGTGCTAATAGGGAAATCCATGTCTGTGGAGAATGAACCACCTCTTGGGCTCCTCCCAACTAAATCCTGTCCAGTGTTAGCCTTATTTACCTTAGCACCATGTGATCCTGCTCTTCTAAGGCTTGTTGAATATTGTAATTTCCTGGGTCTGAATATTTGCATGAAGTAACGTGATTGGTCTAGTCCTGAAGACGGTAGGATTGACGTAGCTGATTTCCAAAATGCAGGTAGTTGGAAGAGTCTGAGAAGATGCTTGCATGGGCTGTATGTCATAAAAGCATATTCAGAAGTCTCAGTGTATCGGCGATAGAAATACCATCTCTTTATATTGGATGTCTGTTTTCTTTACTGCCAATGAAATCCTGTGTCCAGTTATATGTTTAGTTTAATGTGAAGTTGGGGGAAGTCACAAGTTGATTAAGGCAATGATATATATATATATATATATATATATATATACATATATATATATATATATATATATACACATATATAATTTTTTTTTTTTTTTTCTGGTCGTGGGGCCTGAACTCTGGGCCTGGGCACTGTCCCTCAGCTCTTCAGCTCAAGGCTAGCACTCTACCACTTGAGCCTCAGTCCCACTTCTGGCTTTTTCTGCTTATGTGGTACTGAGGAATCGAACCCAGGGCCTCATGCATGCAAGGCAAGCACTCTACCACTGAGCCACCTTCTCAGACCCAAGGCAATGATATTTAAATCCAAAAGGAGACATTCCTTTACACTTTCTGAGATGCAGTAGAATAAAACCTTACTTTTTTAGGGGACTGGTTTATCATTCCATATTCATGAAAGTGATTATGCATTGACTTGTTTGTCAGATTTGGACTGTAGTTTCATTTTGTTAAAACAACCCTGACCCAGGCACTGGTGGCTCAAGACTATAATCCTAGCTACTCAGGAGACTGAGATCTGAGGGTTGGTTCAAAGCCAGCCTGGGCAAGAAAGTCCATAAGATGCTTATCTCCAGTTAAGCACTAAAAATAAAGAAAGAGGGCTGGGAAGGTGGCTCAGTGGTAAAGCACTTGCCTTGCATGCATGAGGCTCTGAGTTCAATTCCTCAGCACCACATAAGCAAAAAGAAAAAAGCCGGAAGTGGTGCTGTGGCTCAAGTGGTAGAGTGCTAGCCTTGAGCTGAAGAGCTGAGGAACAGTGCCCAGGCCCAGAGTTCAGGCCCCACAACTGGACCCCCCCAAAAAAAATATAATAAAGAAAGAAAGAAAGCTGGAAATGGAGCTGTGACTAGTGTTAGAGCATTAGCCTTGAGCATCAAAGCTCAGGGACTGCCCCCAGGCCCTGAGTTCAAGCCCCAGGCAGCACAGAAAAAAAGAAACAAAAAACAACTTTGAAGGGGATGATTTTAGTTTCTTTATGTTTCAGGTACAAAAAGTAGAGACTTCAGTGATTTGCCCCATATCTCACAGTTGATATTTGGGAGAGCTGAAATTCAAATCCAGGTCAGGCTTTGCACGTCCCATTCTTGTATTATGGAGTTTGAGATTATGGGGGTAGCTGGACATTGGAAGCAAATAATTCTGTCGAATCTCTTCTTTCCCAGTGTTGGGAAAGCTTTTATATTTTAATTCTAAGTGAAAATGTATGCTTCTCATCTTCTTTTTAAGATGGCATCTCCTGGATGTGCCCTCAGTGCCTTCATGCTTCTATGGCTCTTTAGATCTGTAGTGAATTATCCCAATGGGAAAGTCACACAGTCTTGTGATGGCATGATTCCCCAACATGGCCACAGCCCACAGTCGGAGCCCATCCATCGCCTCACAGTGAGTGACAGGACGTTCAGACCAGGAGACAAGATTGAAGGTAGCTGCTGTGCTGGGAATAACTCTTTGCATGTTGAATTTTACTCTTTTATGGCTCACTGAATCTTTATCATTGAATCATGATGATTTCATTTTAATATATTTATTCAGTGGATGTGTGTGTGTGTGCGCGTGCGTGTGTGCATGTGTGTGTGTATGTGCGTGCGTGTATGTATGTGTGTGTGTGCATGTGCGTGCGTGTATGTGTGTGTGTGTGTATGTGTGGTGTGTGTACTGGGGCTTGAACTCAGGGCCTCATGTTCTCACTTGCTTTTTTGTAGGCACTCTGTTTACTTGAGTCATACCTCCACTTCCGGCATTTTGCTGATTAATTGGGGATGATGTATCTCATGGATGTGCCTCAGCTGGCTTTGAATCGTGATCCTAAGGTCTCAGCCTCATGTAAAGCTAAGATTACAGGCAGGAGCCACCTGCAGCCAGGCTATTGACTTGTTTTGTAAGATATCATCTTAATTTTGTCACTTGTTTTGGTTTTGTTTACTACAGAGGACCATTTTATGTAAATGTATCCACTCTATTCAGAAGTGTTTTTTTTTTTTTGTCAGCTGGGTGTTGGTGACTCATGCTTATTTATAATCCCAGTCACTCATGAGATGCAGATTGGAAGGATCATGGTTTGAGGCCAGCTATGTACAAAATTTGCAGGATCCCATCTCAATCAGTATCTGGGTACAGTGGCTCAATCTTTCATCCCAGCCCTGTGGGATTCTGAGATCTAGAGTATCAGAGTTCCTGGCTAGGTACTACCCACCCCCCCAAAAAAAATTCAAGAGACCTCATCAAAGCAGAAAAGCTGGATGTAGTAGCACACACCTATCATCCCACCTTCCCAGTAGGAAGCGTAAATAGAAAGGTCATAGTTTCAGTCAGCCCAGGTGAAAAGTGATAACCTATCTCAAAAACTAGCCATAGCAATGAGGGCTGGAATTATAGCTCAGGTGGTAGATGCCTAGCCAGTGAGCCCAAAAGTTTTATTATTGTTTATTTACATATGTATATTTATTTATTTGTATTTATTAACATATTAACATTATATCCACTGAATGCTACTAGCTCAGTGGAAGAAGAAAATTACATTTTATCTTGTTCGAAATGTAATTTAGAGCCCTTGTCTTAAAAGAAGTCATATAGTCTCTTGTGTTTCCCTGACTATTCCAACAAAATGTAGGCTGAGTGTTGAAGTGCGTTTGTAATAGCAAACCTTCATTTCTGCAGTTCTAGAAATACAGAGTATCAATAAATACTCTAATAGAAAAAATACATGAAGAAATAAGCATGGAAAACTTGTGTTATAAGTATCTCTTAGAGTTTCACATTGCACAGTAGAATATTAAAGACCCCACAGGATTTTTTTTTTTTAAATTTAATTTAATTTTATTTGTGAACATACTGTACAGAGGAGTTACAGTTACATGGGCAGGATAATGCGTACATTTCTTACCAAGCATTGCAGCCTCCTCCTTTGTTTACCCTTCACATCCCTTCCCAGCCTCCCCCCTCCCCCCCAATCCCAATCCTTCTCCCCCCCCCCCCCCCCCCACCAACGTTGTAAAGCTTTGCAGTCAGGAAACACATACTGAATTGAATCCAGTGTTTTCCAAAGTAAAAATTTTCCTCTGTAGACTGCCCCCTGGTGGCCACTTGTGTTATTACCGTATTAACTCATTCTGGAGTACAGATCCTGCAGAAGGTAGGTTAGAGCATCTAGCCTGTGCTAACTCATTTTCTCTCCAGGAGCAGTTTTACATATGCATACCCCATTCTAATTGTGATGGGTTTCCCATCCTCATTCTTCTCTGGGATATGACTAAGTCTTGTAACCTGATTTTTAATCTGTTTCTCAGTTACTCTGTCGGGACCACCATTTAAAGGCTTTCTCTTAGAAGCTCGGGATGCTGAACGCTTGAGTGGCCCTCCTATTGGCTCCTTCACAGTAATTGACAGCCAAATGTCACAGCTTCTGACTTGTGAAGATGTACAGGTTTGTCTTTCGTTTTGAAATTAATTTCTGCCAGTTTCCTTGGGATACTTTTTTCACTGTGGGGTATGCTGATCTTACCGTGTGCTGTAGATGTTTAGCCAGACTAGCAATGATCACGTTCTCTAATGTGTTTGTCCTATGGGTTTACATATCAACATCCTAGAAAAATGCTTGCGATGATACTTACTTTTTATGAATGATATTTACTTATTTATGTGTATCACTAATGTGAGGAGCTTTTGTTGTGGTAATTCCATAAGTGTGCACAATGTACTTTTTTTTTGGGTGCCAATCCTGGGGCTTGAACACAGAGCCTGGGTGCTGTCCCTAAGCTTTTTTGTGCTCAAGTAAGGCACTGTACCTCTTGAGCCACAGCTCCACTTCTGGCTTTGTGATGGTTAATTGGAGATAAGAGTCTCATAGATTTTTCTTCCTCAGGTGTCTTCTAACTGTCCTCTTCTTAAATCTCAGCCTCCTGAGTAGTTGGAATTATAGACATGAGTGACCATCCTCTAGCTGTATCATGCACGAATTTTTTCCTTCCTTTGTATTGTAATGTCTTTGTATCTGGTTATTTAAGTTGATTTTTTTTTTTTTTTTGTTGGTCATGGGGCTTGAACTCTGGGCCTGGGTGCTGTCCCTCAGCTCTTCAGCTCAAGGCGAGCGCTCTACCACTTGAGCTACAGCACCACTTCTGGTTTTCTGGTGGTTTATTGGAGATAGGAGTCTCACGGTCTCTCCTGCCCAGGCTGGCTTTGAACATCGATCCTCAGATCTCAGCCTCCTGAGTAGCTAGGATTACAGGCGTGAGCCACCAGCACCCGGCTTTAAGTTGATTATTTATTTATTTATTGTAGTACTGGGTTTGTACTCAGGGCTTCATTCTTGTCAGGCAGGGACCCTACCAGTTGAACCACTACCTCAGCCCTTTTTTGGTGTTTTTTCAGGCAGACTCTCATATTTTGGTCCAAGGCTGGCCTCAGATTGCAGTCCTTCTGTCTATGGCTGTCTGAAAAGCTAGAGTGACAGGTGTACATTACCATATCTGGCATATTTTTGCAATAAGGTCTGACTAGCTTTGCTTGTCTGGAGTGGCAGAGCTTGACAGTGTGAGCTAGCACATCTGCCTTTCTGTTGATTTTGGAAGAGTCTCTGTGTTGAAGGTAAGAGTTCTGGAGGGATGTTCTACAGGAGCCGTCCTGAGTGCAAAGAATATGCCAATGAACAAGACTAACCCATTCTTAAAAAAAAAAAATTAATTAGTTAGTTAATTATTTTTGTCCGTTGTGGGGGCTGAACTCAGGGCCTGGGCACTGTCCCTCAGCTCTTCAGCTCAAGGCTAGCGCTCTACCACTTGAGCCACAGCACCAGTTCTGGCTTTTTTCTGCTTCTGTGGTGCTACAGAATCGAACCCAGGGCCTCATGCATGTGAGGCAAGCACTGTACCACTGAGTCAGCTTCCCAGCTCTAACCCGTTTATTTTGGACTCATGCCCTTACATGTGATTGGGACACAGTTGGACACAGGATGTGTAGAAAGTAGAACATGTGTAATTGGGACACACGTGAGTGGCACCATGTGATAATTTAGGCTAGGACATACACAGGTGAGTGAAGAGAAGAGAAGAGAGAAGAGAGCCACAAGCAGAGTTTCTAAGAGGGCAGAATCCTTAAACTAGGTTTTAAAGAATGTGTGAAAACAGGCCAGGTGCTGGTGGCTCAAGCCTGTAATCCTAGCTACTCAGGAGGCTGAGATCTGAGGATCGAGTTTTAAAGCCAGCCCAGGCAGGAAAAGTGCAGGAGACTCTTATCTCCAATAAACCACTCAGAAAACCGGAAGTGGCGCTGTGGCTCAAGTGGTAGAGCGCTCGCCTTGAGCTGAAGAGCTGAGGGACAGCGCCCAGGTCCAGAGTTCAAGCTCCAGGACTGACCAAAAAAAAAAAAAAGTATGAAAACAGGGTGTGGCAGCTCATACCTGTAATCCCAGACACTAGGGTGGCTTAGGTTTTGAGACTGTGTCAACACAGGTGAAAAGTTCTGTGGCTCCAGGGGTACAGCCCTTGCCTAGCAAGTACTAGGCCTAGTGTTCTACCACAGAACAACTTAGAGTCATCAGAGAGGAAAAGAAAGGAAACAATTTCTAAAAAGAAAATGGGAAACAAGCTTGTTTAAGAGTAAGGAATTCTAAAGTATGTATTTATAGCTGTATTCTAAAATATGTATTCTTTCCAGTTTTTAAAATGGAAGAATTCTTTGCATTTTATTTGTGTTTGTTAGTTGGAGGGGCATTGATAGTGTGGCAAAAGATCAGGCTATTATATATATTTATTCATTTATATGTAAAATATATATATATAATGTTTACACATATAAGTGTATAAGATGCATTTGTATAAATGATTATTTATTGTTAATATAAAGGCAATATACAGAGGGATTACAGTTACATAAGTCAGGTAAAGAATACATTCCTTTTTGGACAAGTCACCCCTTCCCTCTCTCTCTCTTTCTGTTTTTCCCTCATGCCCCTACTCACAGTCTCTGTAACAACACATTCAATATCCATGACTCTCTTCAGTTCTTAAATATCAGAAGACTAATTTGTTCACAGAGCAAACTAGCAATATGTTGTCAACTGATCCGTGTGAATGTATTGAGCGTTCACCAGATTGCCAAGGATTGATAATTACATTGCAAAGCCATGGTGGTGGGCTGTTGGATGATGAAACAGTAGTTCCTCTGCATTTTATTTCAGGAATCAGCTGTGAGCCACAGAAGTTCATCCAAGAAAACAGAAATGAGAGTCTATTGGAATGCTCCAAGCAGTGCCCCGAATCATGTACAGTTTCTGTGAGTAGAAGAATTGACATCTTTCTAATCAATATAATCAAACCATAATGGATTGTTCTAGTTTCTATGCTAGTCAACTGTATAAGAGAGTTTTGGTATAGTAGTGACACCATTATAACAATAAAGGATTTTATTTTATTTTTTTTGGGTCCGGTTGTGGGGTCTGAACTCTGGGCCTGGGCGCTGTCCCTCAGCTCTTCAGCTCAAGGCTAGCGCTCTACCACTAAAGCACAGCACCACTTCCAGCTTTTTTCTTTTTGCTTATGTGGTCCTGGGGAATCGAATCCAGGGCCTCATGCATGTAAGACAAGCACTCTACCACTGAGCCACCTTCCCAGCCCCTAAAGGATTTTTTTTTTTAAAGTGAGTTCTTGCTAATAGCTTGAATTGGCCCCAAGTTTAAGATCCTCCTGCCTCAGCTTCCTGAGTACTAGTTTTCCAGCCATGTACCACTAAACCTGGAAGGATTTAGTAATTAATAGGCCTTAGTAGACATTTGTGGGATGAATGAAATATTGTACTAATTTATACTCGTAAGAGCCACCAGTTAATACTTGTATAGCTGATGTATGGGGTAATATTCTTTTAAATATTTATTCCAGGATGGGTGCTGGTGGCTCATCCCTGTAATCCTCGCTACTTAGGAGGCTGATATCCGAGGATTGTAGTTCAAAGCCAGACTGGGCAGGAAACTCTGTGAGACTCTTATGTCAAATAAATCACCAGAAAACCAGAAGTGGTGCTGTGGCTCAATGTGATGACATGCTAGCATTGAGCAAAAGAGCTCAGGGAGAGTAACCAGGCCCTGAGTTCAAGCCCCATAACCAACCAAATAAAAAAGAATGACCCTTGTGTGTGTGTGTGTGTGTTTGTGTTTATGTGTATGTGTGCTGGTATTGGGGCTTGGTCTCTCGGCCACAGTGCCATCCTGAAGCTTCTGTATTCAAGGCTAGTGCTCTATCACTTGAGCCACAGCTCCAAGTCTAGCATTTTGGTGGTTAATTAGAGATAAGAATCTGAGATTTATCTGCCTGGGTTGGCTTCAAACAGTGACTCTCAGAGTAGCTAGGATTACAGATTTGAGCCGTGGGTGCCAGCTTTGTTTCTACTTTAGTATGAGAATGAAAGATCATCCTGAAATGAGGATGATTTTGTTTTTCAGTGTTACAACTTATATTCTAGATGGTCAGAAAAGTAAACCTGAATTATGAGCCTCAGAAGACTTGAACTAATACTTTCACCCTGGTTTTCTATGTGAAAGGAAATGGAATATCCTAAAACCATGTAAAAATTGCTGAGTGGTATAAGAAGCTTAGTTTCAAGGGATAGATGGCTCTCCTTTGAGGTCTTCATTTCCTGCCTAACTTGGTACAAAGGCTCCCCTCCTCCCCTTGGGACCTCTGTGTTGGGTGCAATATGCTGTCTGTGATTGCTGGAAGGTTGCTCAGCTTCTTTTGGTTTTCCATGTGGTACACCTCCCCTTTGAGGGAGTATGAATAGTACATGATGAAATGATGAGTTAAATGTTCCTTATGTGTCAGGGAGCAGAAATCTGTGTGCTTGACTCCCTGAGGCTGGATTAACAACTGTGGCTGTTGTTAATATGCCCAAAGGACAGACAAGTAAGAACTGAGAAGGAGAGAGGGAGAGAAACTAAGTTTATCTAGTGATGGGGTAAAAGACTCATTGGAGATTTGTCTTATAAAGGTTTTATGTTCCTAGTTCATTCCCCTTTTTCCCTTTAAAATTCTCTCTGTCTGTCTCTGTCTCTCTGTCTCTGTCTCTAGCTCTCTCTGTACGAATAATGGGACTCGAATTCAAGGCCTGAGTATTGTCCCTTAGTTTTTTCACTCAAGATGGGGACTCTACCATTTGAGCCTCAGCCCCACTTCTGGCTTTTTGGTGGTAAAATTAGAGGTAAGAATTTCACGAACTTTCCTGCCCGGGCTGGCTTTGAACCATACTTCGCAGATCCCAGCCTCTTAAGTAGTTAGGATTACAGGATTACAAATTTTGATTTGAGTACAATGGACCACAGACAGGGTGTTGTTTAATTTTATTAGTATTGCATTTCAGAGTCACAGTTGTTGAGAAGTATAAAATCTACTGGGTGAAGATTCCTAGTGACGTAATTTCGCAACCGAATGCACTTCCTTTTACGACACCTAAAGCCACCAGAATGCCATTGTCAACATCTCCCCCAGTTTCCCACTTAACCAAACCAGTAAGTAACATTTATTCATTCATGTATTCATTTATTCATTTATTTATTTATACCAAATGCAGTGTGAAATAGCAGCTTTCTTGGAAATGGTGGTTCTACACCTTCTTTGCAAATTACTCAGTAAGAGGGAGCTGTTTGGGTTGTTATAGCAAGTGTTTGGGTCCAATATATTAAATATCTGTTCTATGGCCTACTCTCTGGGTAGTAAGAATTCTATGTACTAAGCTCCAGAAAATCTCAGCAAGCTTATGAGCTAGAATTCCTTGTAGGCCCTCTAATACAAAAGAATCAGTATTGAAAAGTACCTTGGAACAGATAAGGCATGTGCAAAATCATGGGATGAAGCATTTTGCCAAAGGAGATGCTAATCAAGCAGGCTTCCGAATTCAGAAATATGAGTGGTTTAAATCTCTTATTAGTGGAGGAGAAGCAAACCTGGGGCTAAGTACTGATTTGTCTGCTTTCCGTGGGTCTTTGGGAAATGACTCCAGTTTCAGGCTCCGTTTGTTGTGAGAAAAAGAATGAGAAACAGTAATGTCTAGCTTTCAGTGTCACTGAGGTACACAAAATCATGAATGTCAGTTTTTCAGCCGTGCCTTGAACTTAATAGAGAATTCTCAGAAACATTATTTTTCTTTTCTTCCTTTTTATTGTCCTTATATATCTCTTTGTTCACATGAATAAGACTAAGTAAAATACTTTATCCTGTCACATTAGTTTTATTTTGTTTTCCTTCTACATTTTTTTTGCCAGTCCTGGGCTTGAACTCAGGTCCTGGGCACTGTCCCTGAACTTCTTTTGCTCAAGGCTAGCTCTCTACCACTTGAGCCACAGCTCCACTTCTGGCTTTTTGTTTATGTGGTACTGGGGAATCAAACCCAGGGCTTCATGCATGCTAGGCAAGCACTCTAACCACTAAGCCACATTCCCAGCCCCAAAGGCATAATCTTTAGTTACAGGAAGATTGGTTCAGAGTCATAGGATTGTAGCGCTCAATAGGCCTTGGAGTCTGCTTTGTGCGGGTTTCTTCTTGTTTTGTTAAGGTGAAGGCATTTGGCTGATAGGATAGAGGCAAAGAGGAGAGCAGAGACTAAGTGAAATGTCCTGCCCCTTGCTCTCTTCACCTTATGGTGATTAATCTTTATATCCTCATTACATGGAGTTACACAATCTCTAGCTCTCTTCTGAAATGCACTGTTCTAACAGGCCTGCTTATTGTTCTGCCAAATTGCAGAACCAATACTTAAAAAAAAAAAAAAAAGGACAGTAATGAGGTTTGAACTCAGAGCCTCACGCTTACTAGGCAAGCACTCTATCACTTAGCTGAACTTCTCAGTGGGCTCATAATTTAAAGCTCATCGTTCAAAGCTCAAAAGTTCATAGTAAGACCCTTTTTCTCAGATACTCTACCAAACAGCTCTGGATTAAATCATTTTTAATCTTTGCTACTCCTTCACTGCTAAATTATTACTATTATTTGATTCTTTTTTTTTTTTTTTTTTGGTTGTGGGGCCTGAACTCTGGGCCTGGGCACTGTCCCTCAGCTCTTCAGCTCAAGGCTAGCGCTCTACCACTTGAGCCACAATGCCACTTATTACTATTATTTGAAAGGGTGGCATATATTGGGGTAACTTTTTCTTGTATGACTTCAGCATTACATTTGAGCCTAAATATTAGTGGTGACGATTAAGTTCTAAATCTAAAAACTTGCTTTTTATTTATTTTTATGTTTTAAAACTTTTATTGTAAAGGTGATGTACAGACGGGTTACAGTTACACAGGTCAGGTAATGAGAACATTTCTTTTTGAAAACTTGCTTTTTAGATTCATTTGTCTACTTTTCAAAATCCCATTGCTGAAAACTCCAGGGTGCCTATTTAGGTAAAAATTGTAATATGGACATGTTTACTAAGAAACTTCTCAAAATGTACCAGAAAGTTTCCTCTGGAACAGAAGGTAAAATGTATGGTCTATTCAAGGAATCTTAATGTTCTTTCACTGTTACAGGCTAAACTAGTTTTCCATAACTTAATTGCCATTAATTAAGTTTAAAAGCCCACAACATAAATACTGCCCTGACCATCTTTAATTTGGCATGTGTCTTTGGTTTCCTTGTTTCCCTTGTTTGAATGCCTATTATGAACAGATTTTTCTCATTACAACCCATTCTTGAAGGTTGTGGCTCATCTGTCATTGGCAATGAACTGCTTATTGGATAATTAAGACTTTCCCTCCCCCTCTGTCATTTTTCTAGTTCAGTGCCTCAGACTGTGGGAACAAGAAGTTCTGTATTAGGAGTCCTTTGAACTGCGATCCAGCGGATGAGCCTGCCTGTGTCTTCTTGTCCTTCACCAGGCACGACCAGTCGGTTCTGGTTGAAATGAGTGGTCCCAGTGAAGGCTACTTATCCTTTGCACTTTCTCATGACCGATGGATGGTTTGTACCTCTCACTTGCATAACTGGTAATGGTTAGAGACTCACAAGAGTGAGCTGTTATCTGTAATAGATGAGTTATTTCTTCAAAGTCAGAGTCTCACACTGAAGGGTGGAATGGGAAAGGAGAGACTGGTACAGAATCGATGCAAAGTTAAATGGCCATGTTTCATGGTTTTTTAACAGTCGGGCAATTATGTGCTTCTAAGAACAGACTGTCTTTTTTTTTTTTTTTTTTTTGGGTCCAGTCGTGGGGCCTGAACTCTGGGCCTGGGCGCTGTCCCTCAGCTCTTCAGCTCAAGGCTAGCGCTCTACCACTTGAGCTACAGCGCCACTTCTGGCTTTTTTCTTTTTTGCTCATGTGGTGCTGAGGAATCGAACCCAGGGCCTCATGCATGCAAGGCAAGCGCTCTACCACTGAGCCACGTTCCCAGCCCCCAGATTGTCTTAAAGACAGTTGGGAAGATAATTTTATTTTCGGTAGATTTGCCACTTTATGCTTATGTGTCTCTTGATGATAAAGCACAGAAGCAAAGGTGAAAGTATTAGTGTGGCTGGGTGCTGGTGGCTTATGCCTGTAATCCTAGCTACTCAGGAGACTGAGACCTGAGGACTGCAGTTTAAGGCTAGGTTGGAAAAATAAATCGGAGCGATTCTTTTTTTTTTTTTTTTAAATTTAATTTAATTTTATTTGTGAACATACTGTACAGAGGAGTTACAGTTACATGGGCAGGATAATGCGTACATTTCTTACCAAGCATTGCAGCCTCCTCCTTTGTTTACCCTTCATATCCCTTCCCAGCCTCCCCCCTCCCCCCCTATCCCAATCCTTCTCCTTCCCCCCCTTCCCCCCCCTTCCTCCCCACCCCCCACACCAACGTTGTAAAGCTCGTTTTGGACATGACAACTTGTACTTCTTATTGTTGCAACAGGTCCACTGTATCCTTAAACAACTGGTTTTTCCCCATCTCCTCCACAAGTTATACTGACATCAAATATAGTGAAAGCAGGGGTTATACTGTGGGGGAGGGACATACAAAGCAACAAAGAGATAATCTTATAAATGTGTTAGAAACACATGCATGAAAGAAAAAAAACATTAAAATACACATCTAAGGGTTCATTTTCCTGATATCACATTATCTGACCTTTTCCGCTTGACTCATACATCTACTAGATATTGCAAATAAGGAAAACCATGGGACCTATGTTTCTTTGAGCCTGGCTTACTTCACTTAATATAATTTTTTCCAAGTTTTTCCATTTCCTAACAAATGGGGCAATGTCATTCTTTCTGATGGAGGCATAGAATTCCATTGTGTATATATACCACATTTTCTTGATCCATTCATCTACTGAGGGGCATCTGGGTTGGTTCCATATCTTAGCTATGGTAAATAATGCTGCAATAAACATAGTTGTGCTGGTAGCTTTAGTGTGGTCTTGTTTGTAAACATTAGAGTAAATGCCCAAAAGTGGGATTGCTGGGTCATAGGGGAGCTCTATGTGGAGTCTTTTGAGGAACCTCCATACTGCTTTCCAAAGTGGTTGAACAAGTTTACATTCCCACCAACAATGAAGTAAGGTTCCTTTCTGTCCACATCCCCTCCAGCATCTGTTGTTGTTAGAGTTCTTGATTTTTGCCGTTCTAACTGGGGTGAGGTGATATCTCAATGTTGTTTTGATTTGCATTTCTTTTATGGCTAGGGATGTTGAACATTTCTTCATGTGTCTATTGGCCATCCTTCTTTCTTCTTCAGAGAAGTTTCTCTTTAAGTCTTTCGCCCACTTATTTATTGGGCAGTTGTTTCTTTGAGGATTTGTTGTTGGGGGGTTTAATTTTTTGAGTTCCAAGTATATTTTAGGTATGAGACCCTTGTCTGTTGTATGGCTAGTAAAGATCTTCTCCCAATCCGTGGGGTTTCTATTGATCTTGCTAGCTATGTCATTTGCCCTGCAGAAGCTCTGCAACTTTATGCAATCCCATTTGTCCAACCTTTCTTTGATTTGTTGTGTTTCCGGGTCTCTATTCAGAAAATTTTGGCCTGAGCCAAGGAGACCTAGGGTTTCTCCTATTCCATCCTGTAATGTTTTCAATCTGAGCGATTCTTATGTCAAATTAACCAGCAAAATGCTGAGAGTGGAGGTGTGGCTCAAGTGGTAGAGGGCTAGCCTTGAGCAAAAAAAAGCTAGGGGATAGCACCCAGGCTGTGGTTCAATCCCTAGTACTGGCATGATGAGAAAACAACGAACCCAGTAACAAAACAAAACAAATTGCTGTGCATAAAATAATCATGTTTGCAATGCTTTTTACTTTTTATTTTTTTATGCATTTAAAAATTGTTATTATACAGGTGATGTAATAGGGGTTACAGTTATATAAGCCATGTAAAGAGTACATTCTTTTCTTTTTTTTTTTTTTTTTTGTCAGTCGTGGGGCTTGAACTCTGGGCCTGGGCGCTGTCCCTCAGCTCTTCAGCTCAAGGCGAGCGCTCTACCACTTGAGCTACAGCGCCACTTCCGGTTTTCTGATGGTTTATTGGAGATAGGAGTCTCACGGTCTCTCTTGCCCGGGCTGGCTTTGAACCGCGAGCCTCAGATCTCAGCCTCCTGAGTAGCTAGGATTACAGGCGTGAGCCACCAGCGCCCGGCTTCTTTTCTTTTTTTATTGCCAGTCCTGGGACTTGAATTTAGAGCCTGGGTACTGTCCCTGAGATTCTTTTGCTCAAGGCTAGCAGTCTGCCACCTTAAGCCACAGCACCACTTCTGGTTTTCTGGAGGTTAATTGGAGATAAGAATCTCACAGACTTTCCTACCCAGGCTGGTTCCAAGTGCTGTCCTCAGCCTCCTGAGTAGCTAAGGTTACAGGTGTGAGCCACTGGTGCCAGGGTAAGAATGTTCTTGATAGCAGAATTTAAATTGAACACTACTTCTTCAGGAAACCCATATTTCAGAAAGAAAAGAAAGTAAAGAAAAAAGATGGTCATGATAGAAGAACCAGTGCTTTTTCTACAATGCACTCAAATCACCTGGTTATGATGCACCTGTCACAAGTATTCCACAATACTTAAAGGCAGCTTTAAGTTTTCTTTTGAGGAAGATGGCAGTCCAGTGTATAGGAATGACATAGGCAGTTTACTATACAGCTATAGAATGCACTGCTATTATCTTTCATGAAACAAAGACTTCAATCTACATGGTACAGGTTCTGCCATGTGCTTTCAAAAAGAAGACCTTTTGAGTCTTTCCCCTTCAAAGTTGCTTTTATGAGAAATCTGTATACATTTTTACAGGAAATAATGCTATGATTGTTTTAAAACATTTCCCTTAGTTCCTCTTTGTAAGTATTACCAGCTTATTTTGGGAAGTATTTTCAGGTCTGCCAAAATGAGTTGTTTGGTGTTTCTTTTTTTTTTTTTTTCTGTGCCAGTACTGGGGCTGAACTCAAAGCCTTGATGCTGTCTCTTAGCATTTTTTTTTTAATTTAATTTAATTTTATTTGTGAACATACTGTACAGAGGGGTTACAATTACATGGGCAGGATAATGCGTACATTTCTTACCAAGCATTGCAGCCTCCTCCTTTGGTTTACCCTTCACATCCCTTCCCAGCCTTCCCCCTCCCCCCCAATCCCAATCCTTCTCCTCCCCCCCTTCACACTCCCCGCACCGACGTTATAAAGCTCGTTTTGGACTTGACAACTTGTACTTCTCATTGTTGCAACAGGTCCACCTGAATCCTTAAACAACTGGTTTTTCCCCATCTCCTCCACAAGTTATACTGACATCAAATATAGTGAAAGCAGGGGTTATACTGTGGGGGAGGGACATACAAAGCAACAAAGAGATAATCTTATAAATGCGTTAGAAACACATGCATGAAAGAAAAAAACATTAAAATACACATCTAAGGGTTCATTTTCCTGACATCACATTATCTGACCTTTTCCGCTTGACTCATACATCTATTAGATATTGCAAATAAGGGAAACCATGGGACCTATGTTTCTCTGGGCCTGGCTTACTTCACTTAATATAATTTTTTCCAAGCCTTTCCATTTCCTAACAAATGGGGAAATGTCATTCTTTCTGATGGAGGCATAGAATTCCATTGTGTATATATTCCACATTTTCTTGATCCATTCATCTACTGAGGGGCATCTGGGTTGGTTCCATATCTTAGCTATGGTAAATAATGCTGCAATAAACATTGTTGTGCTGGTAGCTTTAGTGTGGTCTTGTTTGTAAACATTTGGGTAAATGCCCAAAAGTGGGATTGCTGGGTCATAGGGGAGCTCTATGTGAAGTCTTTTGAGGAACCTCCATACTGCTTTCCAAAGTGGTTGAACAAGTTTACATTCCCACCAACAATGAAGTAAGGTTCCTTTCTGTCCACATCCCCTCCAGCATCTGTTGTTGTTAGAGTTCTTGATTTTTGCCGTTCTAACTGGGGTGAGGTGATATCTCAATGTTGTTTTGATTTGCATTTCTTTTATGGCTAGGGATGTTGAACATTTCTTCATGTGTCTATTGGCCATCCTTCTTTCTTCTTCAGAGAAGTTTCTCTTTAAGTCTTTCGCCCACTTATTTATTGGGCAGTTGTTTCTTTGAGGATTTGTTGTTGGGGGGTTTAATTTTTTGAGTTCCAAGTATATTTTAGATATGAGACCCTTGTCTGTTGTATGGCTAGTAAAGATCTTCTCCCAATCCGTGGGGTTTCTATTGATCTTGCTAGCTATGTCATTTGCCCTGCAGAAGCTCTGCAACTTTATGCAATCCCATTTGTCCAACCTTTCTTTGATTTGTTGTGTTTCCGGGTCTCTATTCAAAAAATTTCGGCCTAAGCCAAGGAGACCTAGGGTTTCTCCTATTCCATCCTGTAATGTTTTCAGAGTGTCTGCTTTGACTTCAAGGTCTTTGATCCATTTGGAGTTGATTCTGGTGCAGTGTGATATATAAGGATCTAGCTTTAGTTTTCTACATGTAGTTAACCAATTTTGCCAG